TATCTGGGAACTCTTGGGGGATGCCAACTTTAAAGGTCCCTGGAAGTGCGAACAGTTTGTGCTCAACTACTAACCTAAAGGTTGGTGGTTCGAACCTACCCAGCGTCTGTGCAGAAGAAAGGCCTGACAATCTGCTTCTATAAAGATGACAGCCAAGAAAACCCTATGGAGCAGTTCTACTCTGTAACACGTGGGGTCGTCATGAGTTGGAATCAACTTGATGGCAATGGGTTTGGTTTTGGTTTTAGGCAACTTGAAAAAGACTGAAGTGTCTCAAAATGTGGTAGGAACATGTAAAGGAAGGTGGGGAGAAATGAGGAAACTGGGTCTCTTAGGCTAGAAACCAGGTTTGTTAACAACTAGACAATGAATTACAGGTAGTTGAAAATTACAGGGACTTTGTCATTTCATCTGTACAACTGTGTCTACAAAGTTTTGTAAATCCAACTTTGACATAAAGATAACTGATCTATCCCGCTAAAGCAGTGTCCACAAATTCCTGGACGCCAACTTTCCAGAGGCCTGTCACCTGAAGATTCCTTCTTCCTTTCACCAGTGACAGAAAAGAAAGCTAGCATGCATTTTTGCTGAGAAAACTTTGCATTTTCTCAATCTTCCATTCCCCTGCACCCTTCTTGTCCAAACCACCTAGAAGATGTCTAGAGATGATTTGGAGGGCCTTGGACTTGTTAATTAACCTAGACAGTCACATTCGTCTGCAAGGTGCATTATTGTTAATTAAAACTGCGATTCTCCTCGTGCCCAGACGGCGGGCTGCTGTTGTCAGAATAATTAGATAGTATTCGATGGTTTTCATGCAAATCCCTGGCAATTGGAGTTGTTGGCGATGAATTGGGTTTGAAATCTCAATGAAATTCTCAATCAGAATTCCCCTGAGGGTGGCTGCAGGAGGAAAGTGATGATGGGGTTGGGGGAAAAGGAGATGAGGGCCAGATAAAAGGGTATGGGGACCAGGTATTTGTTTTTTAAGTCCTCCCGGGAGGCTCCAGCCTGTAATAAAAGGACTATGAATTTCAATCTGATATTCAAGTTTTCCTCCAGAAATAAGTCTCTCTCCTTAAAGATGCAATGCAAACTGTCCATCCCCATGGCTTCCTGCACTCCCAAGAGCTTGCCTTCCTGGCTCTCATCTTTCTGAGAGGATTTTTTTCTTTAGCCAGGAGGCCCAATAACTCATACACAGCTAAAGTCCCTGCCAACTCTAAGATTAAATTCTTACGGGTTCTAAGGAAACTGGATTTGTATTCCCGAGGGGTTGCATAAAAGATGCTAAATTCAGACCAGTTTTGGAGTGGTTAGTGG